AAAACGTTGCTGGCCTTGGACGCTCAATTTTGAGGTTTTGAACCTTAAGAGCTACCAAACAAACCCAGTGCCATTGCTCTGCTTTTATGTGTTTTGTTCTGAAGTGACCATACTAAACCAGTGATTTTAAAACTTTTTGCAATCACTTTTAACCTAACCAAATTAACTGCCTCACTTGCTAGGTAAGAAGCTATGGTATAAACCTTTATTATTGAGTAGTGCCCGAGAATGGCAATATTTACAACATGATCCAAAACGAGCTACAGCGTCAGAGATAAGGCTAGAGAGATGGCGAACATAAAAATCACAAAAGTCAATAAATCAAGTTACATAGCAAGTTTCATAATAACAAAGAAACAACAAATAGAGACATTTGGCAATATTAGACCAGTATTTGCAAGGGCAGACGAGCACCTGCGCCCGAGAGGCAAAACGAGCGAGGCGTGTCTCAACTGAGAGGATGCGGCGCTTCAGCAGCAAGCAAGGATCGGCCGAACGATCGGAGAGCCCCGGGTAGAAGCAGAGTTTTGCCCAGCGAGAACTCTTGCTCCCGGCAGAGTGCACAGACCGAAGCGAAGCTGGAGCCTGCTCGAGTTATTATACAGCTACGTTCAGTGGTGAGCAACTACTGTAACTTCCATTTGCTCAGATCCACTTGCGGAAGTTGACTGCACGGCGTTAATTGAGGGCCGGGTAAAAGGAAAGCATCCTGTATGGAGAAGCAGTATAGATGTGATATGCAATATTGACAATAATCCTGCATTAATTTACCTGAGAAATTAGATCAAAGTGGTCTCCGTTATCACATATTACCCGTGAAAGTGAGGATTTGCGAATTTCCGTCAACTGAGCTGGTGTAAACACTCCTGGGTTTTCATAGTAGAACCTAAATACTGGACTGAGATTGATGCCTTATTTCAGCCTGAAACACACCTATCACCGTCGCGAAGTCGTTTGAACTGCTCCCCAATGACACAGCTGAGAGTAGTACCGACGAGTCCACCGACAACGGGATCTTCCAGCATAGAACCCACATAGAAGTCCACATCATCTGAAGAAGCGTTGTATTAAATTTAAGTCACTGACGCGCAAAAGGACGAACCGGTGGTGTTATAGTGCTTTCCCAGCCCAGTTCGTAGGTTTTTGTCCAAGATCATGTCAGAGAAGTCTTCGAAACTAGCGGCTCTTGGAAGACCGCAGAATGTTCGCATAGTATTGTACGAAGGAATTGCGTGATCTCTACCTCGTTGAATGTTCAGTGATCCAAGATCGGTACTAAAAGATGCATTGATTGAATAAGCCACATAAAAATGCTTGAAAGTACCGTCTTACCTTCCAAACATTTTTTCAGTGATGGCTGGCGTCATACGATGTGGTCGCTTGACTGGCGTGCTCATGAATCCACGGAGAATGGGGTCGATCCCTCCTGAAAAAGAAGTGCTTTGATTAGAAAAAACTGCTACTGAGGGCATTTTGCATTCTAATACGTTACCCTTCTTCGCATTGAAATGCTCGATCACTTCGGACTACTTACAATTAGTTTGATTTCAGCGTTCTTTTGCAAATTTCTCACGGCGCCTTTTATATCCGTTCAAACGCAATATGTAAGTATCGGTGGAGGGCTCCCTCACTTCTCCGATAGGTCGCTCAATCGAAGGTTGCTTACATGTGTTCAAGATTGTGCAAGTGACTTAAAAGCTTTTGAATTCT